AGCCTGATCAACTGGAAAAGCGCACTTTACTGATGATTTTTTGCATTGGCTCTTGGATGTTCAGGGTGTTTTTTTAGACAAAGTATCCTCCCATAGAAGCTTCTGAATGGGTTATATGAAAGTATTTTACAATATCTTTATAATATGGTGCTGCACAGGAGTAACAACTCACTCCTCTACTCCCACTTCTGATTTAATGCTCCGAATGGTTTTGGTTTAGTCAAGCAGCAGGAGAAGAATTTTTGTCTAAATTTCCAGAAGTTTCCTTGAATAGAAAACCCATTTCCTACACTCAAGTTTCAACAGGTTCTTTAAGAATGTGGGCCTATACTGAAAGTAGGGAAATGAGATTAATCACTGCAGTCCTGTAACAGGGTTCTCAAGCAAAGTCTGCCATTAGGTTTCGCAGGTACTTTCCTTGAACATCCCCAGGCATAAAAAGGTTAAATGTAGCCCCATAATAAACCAGGTTTATATCCCTTTAATTTAAGTGAAGCAGTATCAAATTTTTTATTCTTAGGTTAAAAAAAATAAAATAAGAAAAATCTTTACAGTAAGGGTTGTCAAGCACAGGAACAGGTTGCCCTGGGATGTCATGGAGTCTCCATCCACAGAGACATTCAAAACGCGACTGGGCATGATCCTGGACAACCTCCTGTGGCTGCCCCTGCTTTGAGCAAGGGGCTGGACTGGAGCTCTCCAGGGGTCCCTGCCAGCCTCAGCCCTTTTGTGTTTCTGTGATTAACTGGACTCAGCAAAAGCATATTTGCTTATGTGATCTGAGAGTTATAGTTTCTAGATTTGTAATGTAAGCTGTAATAGTCTCTATGCATAAACCACCATAATTTCTGCTTCTTTCTAGTTTAAACTAAATGCTCATGCATTCTCTTCAGCTTTTCCTCTACTGAAGGCAGAACAAAATATGGCCTTACTGTATGTGTTTTTAAAGATACTGTAGTGAACTATGTTCTTATATTCCTTTTAGAGATATGTGATTGGAATGGCATTATTAAATACAGGACATTGAAAGATCAATGTAAGTACACTTAATTCCAAAGTCATTCATAGGCCTCATCTACTGCTGAGTTTTTCAATATCTTATTTAAAAAAACCCCACAACTCAGAATTCGTAAGACTGATTTCTACCTGACATGTCTGAAATTTTACTCTGCTTTTAAACTGAGTTGATTTCCCCTCAAGCTTCTTACTGACCCTCTCCCGCTTCTCTGTGCCTGAAGCCTCTCCCTACCCAGCCAGCCCTTCTACCAAGGCCACACATTCTGCACCTGCCCGTGGGGCACCGGGTTCTTCCCCAGTAGCTTTCACCAGCTTTTACTGCCTTTCTTCTGTAGCAACCACCCCAAACCAGAGCAGCCAGTGTGGGCCTTGCAGAGGAGGGCAGCTGGGGTTTCCCATTGCTGGGACCTGAGGGCAGCTCTCTCCTGCTGCTGCCTCCAAGTTTGCACAGGCACATGCAACCACAGCTTCCCTGCAGGAAGACTCGGGCCATACCCCCTAATTTCAGACTGGTTTAACACAACCCTTAGCCGTATCTGGCAAAGGAGAAGTACGAGCTTCAGCCCAGTTGCTGGCCCAGAGGCTAGATGCTCTGAAGGGATGAAGTATTCATGTGTGATGGGATGGGAGCAGTCTGTGTGGGTGCGTTGTGTCAGCACCATTTGCTCACAGAAATTATGAGTGCCTGAATCCCTGGTTGGATTTTGTTTTTTTTTTTCAAAATAGAAGTTAACTTACGGGGTGGCCAGGTCAATCACTGAGATGGGCACTCATGTTTGACACAGCAGCCAGTTTGGTTGTACCAAATTCACTTCAGATTTCCACAAAACTTCTGTACAGCAGAAAATGCTGTTTGCTCTAATTAAATGTTACTAAACCAAATCCTTCTTAGGGACAAAGCAAATATTTCACAACCACTTTGAAGCCTGAAGGCTGCTGCTGTCATTAGATGGCAGCATCTTGGGACTGACTATCACATCCTCAAAAGCTGAGGGAACCAATCCAAGGGCACCACTTGAAATATCACACTGACTTTATAGCTCATTTCCCTGCTTGTGTCTTGTGGGAATGGTAAGTTCCGGGCTAATTCACTAACTGCCACATACAATTTCAGGCACCAGATTTGATCTCAGTTAGCACAGTTCTTGTTGTGCTGATTTTGTCTTACAGCTGGAATTACCATAGGCATATTACACAAGTGCTGTTAGTTAGTTACATGCTCTCTTCACCTCACTGACTGTATGTTCCCTGCTCCAACCAGCAGCAGTTTAACCATAGCCTAAGGCTGTTTTATTGCCTACCAACTTACTTCTTCATATGAAGTGTCAGTCAGGAACACCTTTGCTAAGGAGGCAAGTCATGCTTCAATTCCAGCCAAGAAAATGAAGACTGCAGTAGGTCAGATGTGGGAGATAGGACAAACAGGCACTGCTCGGTCTGCATGTGCTCCGAGTTTATCAACAAACTTTCAGTATATGGAAGTCCAGGAAAAGGAATTTGGCACTGATGGGACACAAGACCTTAATAAAAGGAGCTAAAGATCTTGTGATGTAATGCTGGAGAACAGCTGCCTCTTTTAAGTGGATGCTACAGACCTGAGATGCTCCTGTTCTCCCTGTGCTCATAAGGCAATGCTTTGTCTTTCTAAATTTATCCAATACTGACTTCAGAAAACAGTCTCACAAGAAAATTGCAAAAAAAAAAATCCATGTCTATTATTTGGACAAAAAAAAAAAGGCCTGCAGTGCAAGAGAGGTAGCAAATGTAGAGCAAAGTAGCAAATGCAAACCTATGATGCTGGAAGAAGTGCAACTGCTGTAAGTTGTAATAAGAGGCATATTGCAGAGAATCACTTTCAGTGATAAAGTTTACCTGCTGAAGAAAAACAGGCAACCAAGACAGTATAGGAATATTTTTAAAGGATTCTAAATGAAGAGGAAGCACAAGATAAAGAAAAGAGAATGCATTTAAACTGTAACCAAAGTCATAACTCATACAAACAACTTGAACAATATGATAGCATAAAACAACAACAAAATAACTGGAAACAATAGTTATCCATTCTTCAAAGGGGTGTCAATGTACAGTCAATAGTTTTGTACCTTAGAGAAATCCAGATACTACCTTCTCTGTGGTATGCTAACTCCAGAGTTCTAATTTCATAAGAATTTTAAATCATATAGAATTTCAAACAAGGTAATAGTCAAACTTGATTTTAAAGTTGTGGTCCAGATCTTCTGCTGTAGTATGCAGGCAGTACAACTGTGCAGAATCATGCCATACAAGGACTGGCTGAAGGCATTTTCATGTTGCTGTGTGTTGATCCTTCTTCTATTTATAACACTTGGAATTTTTTAATATTCCTGTTGAATAAGTATTATTTTGTGAGTATTTTTGTTGCTAGATTTGATCTGCTTAAGCACTGTCTCTTTCCCTTTCAGTTGAGTATATACAAACCAGTTAAAAATATCTTTGTTATTTTGGTTATGGTAAGGGGGGAGGGGGGGGTGTAGTTCAAAATATTCTGAAATTTTCTGATGCATAACTTTTTCTGTCAGTGTCCAGAAACCTTTCTGATTCCATTCCTGCATGCCAAAAGATTTTAAGCTGTGTTAACAAAGTGTTTCATGTACAAACCAAAGCAAATATAAACTCAAGGAAATGTATGGACAGGTAGTGTTACTCATTTTCATTCTCATACCAGCTCCTGTTTGTTTATTCACCTGTTGTATATGGTGTGTCTCCAAAGTGTGAACTCTCCCAACATAGGAACTGGATTGCTTTTGTATTTTTGACTCTGGCTAATACTTTAAGGTTCTGATTAACAATTACAGTCCCCAAGAATTATCTCACTTACAACACAGCTGAATGATTTCCATATTCTTGGGGTGTACAGCTTAATTTGTGGAATAATTACTGGCAGCCCTTTAGAACAGGAGTACTGGAATATGTCACAGTTTTGTGTCTCATTAGGGTGCAGAGATGACTGAGCTACTCATCTTGGGAAACAAACACAAGTAACCCTGCTAATGATTATTAAAGAGTTCCTCTAGTCTTATTAAAGGTACCTCTAGTCATTCTTATCAGAAATTTATGACTAGCTATTAATTTTCCTGCTGTCTGTTGTCATGCTGTACTGATTTTATTTCTTTTCATGTATTTACAAACTCCATCTTTAAAATATTGTTGTGCATCTTTGAGTTTTTAGTACTAAAGCTGCAGTTATTATGCCTTCATCAGGGATAACATCTATACAGTCTCTGATAGAAGCTGAAATTCCACTGAATAGCACAGAAAACTTAGTTAATTTGGAGCTTCAGTTCCAAGGCCATAAGCTAGCCTGAGATGTGGGCAGGGGTTTACAGTGCAGTCTTACTGTCTGGTTTACAGTTGCTGTGGTCATCCAGAGCTAATCTTCTCAGGGCTGCCCTCTTTCAAGAAAACAAGTCATGTGGGAGCCTCCCCCTCGCTGTGCTCCCAGCGGCACAGGGCATGAGGAAGATGATCACTCCACCCCCGCTATTAACAAAAGGAAAGCTTCATTTTTACAGTGCTAAAGGTCAGAGAGGGTTCCAAGAAAATGCTTCATTCTTCCCCACAGTGTAGGGATGATCTGAGGGATATTTCAGCACTGCTGTTGGCTGCTGCAGAAGGAGGAAACCTGCAGCTTCTCTGCTGGGTTTTATTACAGAAAAAAGATACAGCTGCAGCAGGGTAGAGGCAGGAGACTACTGGCGGAGAGGGGCAGAAGTTGCTCTAAGAGATTTTCTTGCTCATCCCTGTTCCCACATTCACTGCACAGCACTAAACTTTTCTCTGACCCAGACTTTGTTTCCTGGACTGTTACTGGAAAGCAGAAGCATGGAGAGTTTGTTCACACTTCTGTTGGAGACAGCAAATTTCTCCTTTTAATCCTGAATATTATTGACAGATTAGAAACTCCAGCATTATACAGTATTATTTTTGCTAGTGAGAGAGAAAAAATGGATGCACTCAGAGCACCTGAAAATGAGTCGCTGTTGTCCAGTTCCTCCGGTCCTGCCAGATGGGATCCCTTCCGTCGTCCCTTGGACTCCATCCAGCCCTGGCACTTCAGCCTTCTGGCAGCAGTAATGTTGGTGGTGACCTCCCTGTCGCTTGCTGAGAACTTGGCTGTAATCCTGGTAACTTCTAAGTTCAAGCAATTGAGACAACCTGTCAATTATGTTATAGTCAATTTGTCTGTGGCTGATTTCCTGGTCTCCCTGACTGGTGGCACCATCAGCTTTTTAACAAATCTAAAAGGTTATTTTTATCTGGGATACTGGGCTTGTGTACTGGAAGGATTTGCTGTCACATTTTTTGGTAAGCTTGATTTTGTCTGTAGTTGTATGTTCTTTTCCTTCAGCTTCCTCCAGTGTACTCTACTAGCTATCCTGCAGCTTCCCAAGTCACTGACTTTGCATGCCTTTGAACTCACTGGTTCCTTTCCCAGTTACATATATTCTGTAGTGGATCTCGTGTGAGTGAATAACATGTTTCACTATATCTGTCATATATCAGTGACTTGTCACATGTGTACTGATCATTGAATATGTTTAATATAATGAGAAAAAGCTCACTAATAGAATAACAGCATTGTGGGTTCTTTTGTAAAATAATGTCAGGAAAAAATTCACTATGTGTAACTATTTTAAAGTTTTGTATTTAGGTCAGTGCATATATGGATAAATAGAGAGAGGAAAAGAGTGAGTGGCTGCTCTTAAACTGTCGTATTTGAAAATATCAGCGCATGGAAACATCTTATGTTAGCTACCCTGCAGTGGTTCTGAGGAACCGTGGCACACCTGTAACAGTCACGCCACACACTGACATCTTTTTGTGCTTCTTTTTCTTGGCTTTGTTTTACTAACTGCACAAAAAGTATTAGAAATACTCTAAAAGGGAGAATCCTCACCACATAGTGTCCTGTGTATATGCACCTCTGCAGAATAAATGGGAAATCAGTTTAAAACGGGACATCTTCTTACTTGAGATAGACATTAATTCCTGCCTCCCTGTTCCTATTTCTGAAGCTGCATAGTAAAGACAGCCTTCTAACTCTTCTCACTGCCCTAAATCAAACACATTGCTGATCCTCAGCCTGAAAAGGAGTCCCACAGTTGCTCTCAGCCTGATTAAGCTACACAGAGGGAATGTCCGTGAGGGACAATGCTACTAAATCAGTTCGTGGCATGATTTTGGTGGCCAACCAGCTGATACATGCCTAATAAACTGATAATTTAATGTTGTGGGCAGCTGTCTGTAGGTTAGAGTTTTATGACAGTCTGAAATATGACATTTCTTGCAAAGGTAGCATTTTGAAGATATATCTTAATTTCTTGATTTGGAAGCTACACATAATTTGCAGCTTTTCAGAGTAGAACTGAATGAAAAAAAGAAGTCATCATCAGTCAAATGGCCCAATTAGCTGCTTGGTTTTGTAGTCCTTATACTGTAGACTGACAAACTAGACAAATATGAAAATCTTGTGCTCTTAGTAAATAATAAGGCACATAAATTGCACATCTTCATAACTTGGGTTGATGGAAGGGGTGTCTGATGTAGTGGGTGGTCAAACAGTGGAACAGGTTGCCCTGAGGGGTTGTGGAGTCTCCACCTGTGGAGTTATTCAAAACCCAGCTGGAGTTGGTCCTAGACAACCTGCTGTATGGACTGTGCTTGAGCAGGGGGTGATGTTGAACTAGATGACCTCCAGAGATGCCTTTCAACCTAAACATTTCTCTGATTTTGTGATGTGGGCTGGTGTTTGCTTTTCAGTGAATCTACCCAATTTTTGATGCTGATTGTGTTTTCTTACTATAGGCATTGTTGCTCTCTGGTCTCTTGCTCTGTTGGCTTTTGAGCGGTATATTGTGATCTGTCGCCCATTGGGAAATATGCGCTTGAGGGGGAAGCATGCAGCCCTAGGTATTGCCTTTGTGTGGACCTTTTCCTTCATTTGGACCATTCCACCAACAATGGGTTGGAGCAGTTACACCACCAGTAAGATTGGAACTACTTGTGAGCCTAACTGGTAAGGCCACTCTTGCAGAGTATGGTAAAGAAATGAAACTTGCAGCTCAGGACATCTCAGGGGCAGGAATTTAAAGGAAAGGTTTAAACATGGTGTACATCTCTGCAAAAATGGGTGTAAAGAAAGTTGGAACAAAACTGAGCAAAATTTGCCAAGGATAGATTAAAAAAAAAGAATTCTAAAGGGAGGAGCGTCCATCTCTAATGAAAATAACCATCCTATACCTTGTCCTTTTTGTCAGGATTCAAAGAGGACAAAGAGAGATTTTTCAGAAGACGAGACAAAGCCCTGAGCAACCTGGTCTGACCCCATAGCGGACTCCACTTTGAGCATGAGGTTGGACTACATGTCCCTTCCCACCTGAACTGTCCCACAGTTCTATGATACTGTGCCTATGGTCATAGGATCCTGTCCTAGCCCACAGCCAGGGAGCTAGCCCAGGGCTCCATCTGGTGATATGACTAGAGTTGTAAAGGGGCACTTTGAATAAAAACAGTTGACAAAAATCCTAGTGACAGCTTTGAAGAGCAAAATTAATACTTCCAGAAAATAATAAGAACACAAATTAGTAATACATACACACTGTATTTTGTGTTTACAGGTACTCAGGAGCTTATACTGACCATACGTACATTATTGCATTCTTCACCACCTGTTTTATAGTGCCTTTATTGGTGATTTTGGTATCCTATGGAAAACTGATGCAGCAGCTAAGAAAGGTAAGAAAAAGCACTTATCAGTAAACTTTTAAAATGTGTATGTATGCAAACATTTGGAATTTTTGTGTTCGATTTTCTGTAAAGATCAGACATAAGGAGATCAAATTTCCAGGCAGCAAATGCACTCAGTTATCATCTATTGTTATATAATTATCCTTACACACAGAAATTCGTGCTATGGTTAGAAATGACTTTTCAAAGTGCAGTTTGCATCACTTATCAGTACATCTCATTAGCCAAACATCATACAAATGGAAGAGTGTCTGCCTCATAAATAAAGAAACTGAATGACCCAGTATGGGTTTGTTTACAATTGTAATTCAATTCAGTGATGTTTCTTAAGACTCAAACCAGGTAAATCAGAATTTTGCTTAAAATGACTGCATCTGTAAATTTTAAGAGTGCTGGCTAATACTCTATAACACTTACATGCAGAATAAGATGTAGCATTTGTAAATAATGTAATGCTGTTTAGTAAATAAAATACTAGATTGTCCAGGAACATTTAAAAGAATTGAGAAATACTTTTGAATTTTATTTAATGATTATGTTGACACGATCCGAAAGAGAATTTGCAAAAAGTGAAAAATAAAGACAATAGAATCGGAAAATTCCAATTTGGGGACAATATTGTTATTTCTATTCACTGCAAAGCTGCCTTGTCTGATTGCTTCAGTAATAAATTCAGTAAATTTCTTCAGTTTACTGATGTTTTTAAAGTATTTGGGATAGTCAAATGCTTGTATTCATTCTGAGTGTCGTTTTCTCTAAGTAAAACAAAACAGAAGGGAAATGCGAAAAATATTTTCATTAGAAAATACAGATTGGAACATGCGTACTTCAGGTAACATTGTGATTCCTCTGGATGGATTTTTCTTGATTTCCTCCAGGATGCATTTAGGGGAGAGAAGGTTAAATGGCTGGGAGAGGTTGATGGTTGATTTCAGTATTAAATACAAGAAGTTTCCCAGGTTGAATGTGAACTGCAGCACAGGTGCATTGCTGCTCACAGCGCTCCTGGTGAGATGGCACGGCGTCTGTTGGTGCGAGGGCGGGGGACGTGAATTACAACATACAGAGATGCTTGAAGAAAATCAGTGTTGACGACGCAGGCTCTCCTAACATAACTTGTAAAACTATGGTTCTGTTAGTCTGAATATCCAGAACTTTTATTAGTATTTTATTTTCCCCTGTCCTAACCTACCTGCAGAGGAAATGCACCACAGAGAGAGCGGGGGGGCAGACCTCCACGCTGCTGAGGCAGCCCTCTCGCTGCTGCCTTAGGGAAGCAGCTCTGCCGCTTGGCTTGGAGGGGGGGACAGCCACCCCACAGCAGCCACCCTGCGGGGCTCCCGCTCCTGCCAGGAGCACCTCTGGCGCGGGCAGGCGCGGCGGGTGGCAGGCGTCCCTCCCCGCGGGCCGGCGGTCACGGCACGGGCCCTGCAGGGATGGGAACGGGCCGCCCCTGGGAGGGAGAGCCCATGGGGTGGCCTGGCCTGAAGGGAGGGATGTGAAGGAGAGGGGACCCCTTGCCACGCATCCAGCACTGTCATGGGTCTGCCAGAGCGGTGGCTAATGTGCTACTCAGATGTTTCAGGAGGTGCACAAAAGGGCCATTTCCTTCCTCTGGGACAGCCACTTCAGAGGCTGCAAGTTAAAAACAAAGCAGGTGAGATGAGGAACAAGGGAGGCAATGAAGGAAAATGCCACCATCGGTCACAGCGGAAGCCGGTGAATGGTCCATCTTGCCATTTGGGTCAGGTCAGGATGTCTTCTGGAAGACCGATCTGTGCCACGTAGTGGGTCCCAGCATTGGCCTGGAGCCACTGTGGTGTGATCTCGCTCGGCTGTCTTTCTCACTCCTCTCTCCATTATCCAGAAAGAAGAGCAGTAACGTTAAAAAAAACAAATCACGCTTCTCAATAAGTTGTGTGTTTCACACTCCCCTTGCAGCTCAGTGATCTGGCAGACCGCACAGCCAGGAAATGCTGGCGTGGCCTCAGGGCACCTCATCGCAAACGATTTAGCCGTAGCCATCTGGCTTGTGCCAGTCCTTGCCTCTGGCTTTTACAGAGAGAGAGAACTGTCTGAGTTGGCCTCTGTGACTTATAACAGCTTAAAACACAGTCTAGTGTGTAAAAGCCAACTGTCTGCAATATATTCTGTAAATTTATAATGAATTGCCATAAAGCTATATCTCACAACTAAACCAATTTTTAAAAATCTGACTACGGTGAACAGAGAGAGACCCAGGCACCAGAACTGGGGTCTTGATGTTCCCAACCAACCCTCTTCCCAGATTTTGACTGCCATGTCCCACGGCTGCCACAGTGTGGACTTGGTCATGAGTGGCATTGTTTTGTCTTAGTAAAGTCTGCTGGTTCCTCAGTCTCTGTGACCCCCAGCTTTACAATGCCAGGGCTAGCTTTCACTACAACTGCAAAATTCATGAAAGAAATCAATCTTTAGGAAAAGCTCTAATTAACAGTTTACAATGGAGATAAATTATTATGGCAGTATTCCTTTGTTTGTAAGATAAAGCACCAGTACATGGTTCCTTATCAGTTTTGTGTTCTCAGATTTAGAAAGGAATCTACTGCCATCCGCAAAAAGCCATAGGTGAGAAAAAGGCCAGGCTGATAAGAGACAAAGACAAAACAGTCAAAAGCATAATCCAGGAGATTGTGTCCCTTCCCCAAAGTGACTGCACTTCTGCTGAAAGGGAGGCTGGGCTGCTCTCTTTGTAGGTACAGTGTATATGAAAAAATGCTGTAGAAATGTCATATATTGACAGGGAATATCTTAGCTTTGCGCAGCACCTAACACTGCCTTCATTGATGCCTAAGAACTTGTAGGCATTATGACAACTCATTATTATTATTATTATTATTATTGTTGTTGTATTTATTGTTTGTTAAAGAATGACATAAAATACAACTTTCTACAGGGGTAAGGACACCTCCCTCCCCAGGAGGTGCTTCTATACCTCTGTAAGTACTAACTATGTTAAATTATATGAGTGCAGTGCAAGAGTTATTAGGGGAAATGTCTCCTTTCAGTTCTAACATTACTGTGGAAAGCTAAAAGGCCATATTACACCAAAAAATCTTACTTTATTAGCATGTATTATTGCAAGATCTGGCATCAGGTTTTTCTAGAGCCACACAGTATCATTAGTTACTTCCCATGTATGCTAACATTACGTTAACAGTGCCTTGTTTCACTAAGTCATCAGAAACAAAACAAGGATGTTTCCCAGAAAGACACTGTTTGACATCACATAATCTCTGTATCAACATCTCTGCCTAAAATGCATGATCAGTGAGGAGAAGAGGGGGAGCATTCCTGCTAATTGCCCCAATCCCACTTTCATTCTGGTGTCATTAGATCATAGAGGCTCTTCTGGTGAAGGCCATAAAGCACTACAGAGCTTGACAGACTCTCCTGGTCGCTGCTGATTAGTCTGGTGTAAACTTCACCCATGGCAAGGACTTTGCACAGCTACAGCAGAGTGCTGCCTTTAACACCTATATTGGACACCTAGTTGTCTGCAAAGGCTGCATGAAAAAGAAAGCGCTTGAATTCAGGCTCACTATCTGCTTGTGACTCACCAAGATGGCCTTCTTTTTCAGTAATTAAGTCATGATCATGCCTTCAGTTGAACTGTTGCAGTTACTGTGGGTAGCCATAATGGCAGGGGTAGATTGGGAGATGACTGACAACTTCTCAAACAGTTAGCCAAAGCTGAATTTTTACACCCTGTGGATGTGGTGGCTAGAGGCTGGCCAGGGCTCAGGTGCACCAAGAAGAGGCAGCAGGAGAGGGCTGGTGAGACCAGCTTCATGTGAGGCCTCGGGAGCAGGTTGGGGCTCGCCTGCTGGAGGGGGAGAGGGACAGCTCAGCCTCCTTTCCTGCACCACCTTGCCTGGGGTTATTTCCCCTCTGCTGATGCTGACCACAGCAGCCATGAGCCTGTCTTTCCAAGTTTCCAGCAGAGAAAAGTCTGTGGTCCAAGGCAAGAGCTTTTACTTAAAGCTAGCCCCTGGCAGTGGCCTGAATGAGAACTTGGAAGAAATCTGAAACTGCTGAGACTTGTAAAAAGATCTCATAAAGACAATGCTGTGCTTGGGCCGACTGGTACAGAAGCCAGTTTTGTAGGTAAGATTAAAGTTGGTTGGCTGTAAGGCTGGTTCAAAGCTGTATTGGCTTCTCATATTTGCCTTGTTATGGAATTGTGCTTTTCGTTATATTTTGCTGCACACAAACTGGTTTATCAGAACAGCAGCAAATGTATTTCACAAAAAGACCAGAAAAGGGGAAGAAGGGGATACTGCTCCTATCAGTATAGACAAAATGTTCTCTAGTCAGCTTTCCTGCAAGCCAGAAAGTCTAGCTTTATTAGGCTTTCTGCAGATCCAGAGCTGCTGTAAGCTGAGGTAGCTCTGTTGAAGTTAGTGATGTATGGCAAGTTGTATCACCCAAAAATGTAGGCCTAATTTCGGTTTCATACTTTTAGAGGTAACTTATTGCTATCAGATACCGCCAGTTGCTCATTGTGTCAGTCATTGTATTCTGCATAAGGCATTCTAAAGAGAGGCCAAATCTTGTCTCTGATTTGACTAAAATAATTAGGATTAATTTTCTCACAGATGGAATTTAAGGGTATTTCTGCACTGCTTCAGGGTGGGCTGCTGCAGCACCCATGAAGTTACCTGAGCTAGATTAACTTTTGTGAGGCTGGACAGCAAACCTGTGCCATCGCTTCACTCCTTGTGACTTGGCTGAAGCGAGCTTAGGAGTGTCTCTACAGGCTGCAGTCATGCCTGACTGCAATTAGATTTCTACACAGAGATTGCCCTAGTAACTGGTTTTTGCTCTCGCTTTGACAATAAAAATATAAAGATACTTAAGCAAAGGAAAAATTAATAATGACAGTATACAGTAATTCATGTCCCTCAGCAACAACATTGACACCCTGTGGTCCAGTAACAGCATCCTGATGTACTCTCATACTCAAGAAGAGCAGGTCTTCCCTTCTAGCGTGGCAGATTATTAGTCTGCTCACTAAATTCACTGGTTGGAGGCCTTGTTGTTTGTTTTCTAGAATCTTCTATCTTTTCTTTAAAGGTGTCAGATACGCAAGGCAGGCTGGGAAGTACCAGGAAACCTGAAAGACAAGTGACAAGAATGGTTGTTGTTATGATCATTGCCTTTCTAATCTGCTGGATGCCATACGCCGCCTTTTCTATCCTAGTCACCGCATACCCCTCCGTTGAGCTGGATCCTTGTCTGGCAGCAGTTCCAGCTTTCTTTTCCAAAACAGCCACTGTTTATAATCCAATAATTTATGTCTTTATGAACAAACAGGTACTGTATGCTCTCAAAGTGTCTTTAACACTCATATTTTGTTATTTTTTCTTGCTCTATAATGAATTATTTCTATCTACCTACATGTTAGTTAACTAGCATTGCAATATCCAGCATTTAGAACTAAAAAAAAAAAAAAAATAATAAAAAAAATCACTCTATATCTACGTACTGGAAGATAGCGTAAGCCTCTGTACATTATTAAAATAAGAATGTTAATAATTATTAGGTTTAGATATTATAAAGGAAAATCAGCCCTTAGTGAATATCAGTTAGTTTTCTGTATGAAAATTCTATTTTCAAGACTGTGCCAGTGCATTTGTATAATTCTTTAGAAATGCAACACCCGCAAGTTGACTTTGAGGTGGGGTGGAAGTTTTCAATACCTTGTATTTGTGTCAGGGGAAATGCTGCATTTGTGGTTGTATGTACAGGGAGGGTAGAAGCATTGCATATGGCTATGGGACAGGGAGCTTTCTTCTCTGGAATGGGGGCAGAGGATTGGATACAGAGAAGAAGAATTGACAAGGGGATGAACCAGAGTGATATGTGTTCACTGTGGTAACAGGCATGGTAATAAACTTGAATAGATTTATGCAATGAATGTAGCTACTAAGAGTGGTGGTGTCAAGCAGAGTATAAGCATATAAGTGAAAAGAAGAAAAATACTAAAGTGACTGTGGACTAAGAAGTGATTAATAAATTTACTTATTCAGTCCTGCAGAGAGAGCTATTGCTTGTCTCTCATCCTATGGACAGTACCCTGATCTCCCAATGCATGGCAGATGTACGCTGGTCTTACCGTGTTCATGGATATGAACAAGATGGAAACAAACCATCTTTGAATATCTGGGTATTTGCATATGAAAGCAGCTCATGAGCCTGGAGAAATAACCAGTTCTGTCCATTAGATGTGGTTAGTAACAAGCAGAAGAGGAAAATTATTTTTTGGAATAAGATTTTCCAGTAGTCTGGATCTTTTTAGAATGTTCTTATGTCTCAGTTTGAGAGTTCTTCATGGTGGCACAGGCAGATATATTTTATGAGGCTATTTCTTTATATTCCCAACTGACTCATGAATTTCCAAGAGTTTTAGCTAAGACAAAGACTGCTTTATAGAGATATTTTAAAATTCCTTATGTCTTTTGATTGATCTCCTTTTTTTCAACTTTCTAGTTCAGGAAGTGTCTGATTCAAATGTTCAGCTGCAGTGCCATAGAAACTGCAGAGTCCAGCATGAACCCGACTTCAGAGCGAGCAATGATAACCCAGGACAAAAGAGGCAGTGAGATGTCCACCATGGCAGTATGTAGCACCATTTCTAAGAAGAAAACCGGAGATGAACGCAGAAATTGCCGATCTTTTGCTGAGTTGGCAGCTTCAGAAAACAAAATCTGTCCCATGTAGGGTGGGAGGTAATTAATGCAGTGCTACAGCATATTTCCTTGTTACCATCACTTAATACAATAATATTGTCAGTGGGGACATTGTGCTCCTGCAGACACCGACTTTTGAGATTCCAGGCTCCTGAGTGCAGGTAAGAGTTTCTTGGCTCTGCGGTTGCAGTCAAACACCCAGCCATAAGGTGAGTCCCTTCCTCCACTGCATTCCTCTTCCCAATCCACAGCCTGCTTGCTCCTGAAAATAACATCAGGGGAATCCAGTGTTGCTATGCTGGCATGTAACACAGTAAGGATAGGAGAGTTTTATGCTGATGATGGCTCCTTGGTCAGCTGGACAAAAACATGAAGTGGCACATGGCTTCTATATGCTAATGGACAAATAAATAATATATGGCACACTGCTGACTCAATTTCAACCAGTGGAGGTTCAGGGAGGAACAGGTCTGAGGGCTTTTTTGGTTTGTTTGAGTATTTTCGCTAAAAAAGCAGAGAAAGCCAGAGGCTTCTGCACTTATGTCTGTCCTTGATGAGAATCTCATCTGGGCCACTAAAGTCTCCAGCAGCTTGGACAAGGCATCCAGACTCCCAAGCACTATTTTATTAAAACAAGCCCTATCAAGAGCTGTTCGTATCCTCTCTCTGCCTTCCCTCTTTGTCAGGAAAAATCTTCTGTGCTCATGGCAACTTTTGAAGTACATTAATTTGGACTAGATGATCGTTGTAGGTCCCTTCCAGCTGAACTATTCTATTAACTCAACTTTAGAAGAGGAGTTAGTGGGGTATAGGAAAGTACAGCTGTGCAAGAATGCAGGAGAAAGGGCCAGTTAGAGTTGTGAAGCTAAGCTTTGTGGGACAGAAGTTTTTCCCTGTGTGTGCCTGCATTGTGCAGAGCTAAGATCTGTCATGTTCTTGAGACTATGTAGCTCCAAGTGACTATTATTTCTGTTGCTTAACAATTACAATTTTCAGAAATCAGTGGTTAGAGAATAGTAGGTTCTGGGCCACATTACGTTGGAGCATGTTGGATGTCTGTATTTCCATTTGCACATTTTTTACTTTTCTCACTTCTGAGCTAGGGCATGCCTCTTCAGAAAGCATAAACAACTTCCTAGCCCAGTAGGCAACTTGCAGCAGCCAGTGGCACCGCACTGCTGGTCTCCTTTGAGGAGCAGTTGTGTCTCTGTCCCTTCAGTCCTTAAATTCCTGTTTCTGCCTAAGTCACATTCTCACTACTTTTAATTGAGCTACTGATCGTGGCATAAATCATTAACTTGTTATTACACCTTTGATATCAGAAGCAAGGAGTGCAACATAAAATACACTCTCTGTAAACAGTCAAAAAAACCAGAAATTGTCAGCATTCCATGGCTGTATTCCATCTCATACATTTAATTCACACAATGACGTGCAGCAATATACTTAGCTTTAGTGGAATGTCACTTATGCACATGCAAAACCAAACTAGGCCATCAGTGTAATAAAGACAGCCTTCTGTTTTAAACAGACTTTGATAAACATTCTATGAAATGTTGTTAAGACCTGGCATATAAGATTTTGAATCCTATACAAGTTCTATACTTAACTGAATGCATTTTAGAAGAAAAGGCAACAGCTGACTATATTTAAATGCTTTAGTATGGAAAACCATTATTTCTAGATAAGACATTAATACAGTGCCAGTTGAAACAAATGTTGCTCCATAGTGGTATAGAGAAGCTATACTAGCTACATACTGCACAGGCCTTAGCAACAGAAATGTGATATGGAATGAATCACCCAGTGTTCAAAAAAAACTATGATTTCTTTACACAGAATAAAGACATTTTGTTTCTACTAGATTTTTCTTCTCTTTTTATTTTGTTAAGTTACAGTTTGAAAAACTATATTGCCCTGAAAAGGAATGACAGGCTACGTGAGGTAGCTGTGGTCAAACCTTGGCCCAGAGCAGTATGTTGCTGAGTTGGAAGTCAAGAACCATTCCTGCAGCAGATGGGGATGTTGGTGGATCAGGGAAAGGTAACACAGAAACACAGTACGAAACATCCTGAAACCCTGGTATCTTGCAAAGGCTGACTTCTTTACAATTCTCATGCTTAAGAGGAGACAAAAGCTGCAGCTCCCTGCCAGGACTGGAGGGACAGGCATGGGCAACGTGGCCCTGCAGCCACTCTGGCCTTGGGATGCTCACATGGACTGCTTGGCCACCCGTTCCTGCTCATGTCCCCTTGCAGTGTTCACACCGATGGACGTACAGAATAATTCACCCCCCATATTTCTGCACAGCCCTGGCCTTCTGATGCATTTTGCTTTAGCTCTGTGAAGGTAATCTAAACACCAAAGCAGCAATGACAGTAACATGTGGGAGAAAGCATGAGCTCTTCACTCTTCCTCCCTGTCACCAGCCTTCTCGTGGGGATGTGTTTGGCAGGGGGGGGTGTCCCACTGTCTGCAGCCCTCACTTCTGAAGGCAAAGTGGAGCTTGGTGAGGGGAGGAAAGGTAGCCTGCTTCAGGCAATAGTGTATCTGACATCCAAGACAAACTATGTTATACTAGGTAACTATGCATACCTGCTTTAGGTAACGACTAATATGATAACAATGATTTTCTTTTTCATCAGATATGTAAGAATTATTGGTAAGAACTTTCTGTTAAAAGATCCTTTATAAGTGCATAGGTGAAATGTGATCCTTTCAGCAAGCGTATTTCTGTAAAGCTTTCCCTTAATACTCTAAGGGGTCAATTTCTTTGGCCCTGCTCTTTTTCCACTTTACGCAACTTCCCATTGCTCTCCTGGGACAGCTATGAGTGCAAAGGACCCGGTCATGCTCTTTGTTTTGCATCTTATAGAAGCATGAGACAACTCTTTGGACCTTTTCTACAACATGTGTTCTTTGCAGAAGAACACGAGAAGTTAGGAAGCAATGGTGGTTGACCATACAAGGGGTGACGTGCACATGAAGTGCTGGCTAGCTCCTGTGGTTGGAGACCAGGCACAGTGACTGCAAGGCTGGAGAGCAGGACTGACATGAGGCGGAGCTACTGGAGTTACTCACTGGAGCGAATGAGCAAATGTGGGGACGGCAGGATGGGTACCTATACCATTGCTCCAGAAGAGATATTTGCATCATGGTGAGGTTTCCTTGCCCAGTCATAGCTGCTGCCATGCCAGACACTACAAGTCACGGATGTGGTCTCCAGCAAGGGGCAAGGCATCAGGAAGAAGGTGCTGCTCAGCAGGTAATACCTGGGAGCATCCAGGGGCTCCCTTTCTTTAGGCAGTCTGGTTAACTCTACCATCCTGTCTTTAATGGTGCAAGCCAGTGGGTGCTGTAGGAATCTCATGTTGTTGGAATACTTTTTAACCTTTTCCACAAAGGGTACCCATGACTATGCTGTCCAGGTCTCACCACCCTTTACGCTGGAGGTGTCAAGCTGTGTAGCTCTTTGACAATTCCCTTTGTTAGAGAAATTTAGTTGCAAGACATAAAGGAGTAATTTGTAACATTTTAAAAACCTGATTTTTAATAAGCAATTTTTATACACTGTGATCTTCCACTTAACTTATCCTGGACTCAAAATTAATCTGAATTTTATGCTTTTTATATTTTCTGAGTAGAAAGATTGTTCAGATTCAAATGCCCTGATTTCTTCTTAGAATGGTAAGATCCAAAGCGGGGAGTTACTCCACAAATAACATCATGAGCTGCACATGTGAGAATTCACTGCAAGACATCTATAGTCTTCATATTCATCTCACAAAATTTCATGAGGTGATTGTCTTTTACAGTATAATTTTGGCTTCAGTGGGCTTGAACTTTTGCAGTGCTCAATCTTAAACCCAAACTATGAACCTCACTCTGACAGCTACATCCTTTCATGATTCATATTCTTTACCATTAATCCTGCAGGATCTAGATCAGAAAAGTGAATAGATATATATGCCTCAAATGTTTTGGAAATATTATGAGACAGGAAGGGTAAGTTATTCAATTATTATTGGTATGCATATTTTTGTGCTCATTAGTCTGTTAGGTATGATTTGAAAGCAAAAATTCTTGCATTAAGACTCAGATTTTCTCTTTCAAGGATATGTTGACCTAGGTTAATCACATGTTAATGGTACTGGATGTATTAAATCATGAAGAATTGGCAGAAGTGTTAGTATTTAATTAAAAGCAACAGAATTATTTTATCTCCTGAGAAGGTGAGGATACATAGAGTACAGCGCTGTAGTACAAAATAAAGCATCAAAACTTAAGTAACGGCAAAGAAAAACACAATGTAAAAATGCATGGAAAATCTTAGAAAATAGCAAGTTATAATGAGATCTGCCGTCTGATAACTGGCTATAACATCTCCAATAAAAGTCACTCATGATGAAGTGGTACTGGTGAGCCTTTTAAACTATTTCACCAAGGAAAACTTGGTTTGCATCTATAAATTAATTGAGGACACCAGTTTGTAAAGATAGTAAAAGACAGTGTCTCCAACTAACAAGAATGGAAACACACCCACTTAATAGACTACTAGCCAGTGCGAGGTTAGCCATAGGTCACATTACGATTGTGTGTGGTGGGGTGGATAGTCTGACATCAGGCTTTGAATTACTGCACTCAAAACATTATAAGGAAGTGTATCCATAGAGGATCTTTAGGGCAGTGCTCACATTTCAGCCACAGGGCAGACAAATAACCTTAGCTTTTTTATGAAGAAAAGGGAGAACTACCGCACACCAGGAACAAAACAGGAATCTTCAGAATGAGAGAACGTATAGGAATACACTGTGAATTCATGACATTAAGCCCTGCTTCCTTTTGCCTCATCATAAGCAAGTGCTAGAAAGAGAAGGCAAGATTTTTTCTCCCCAAGTCAGGTACAGGAGTCCACCATGCCTATCCACCTGCAGTGCTCCTGCAACAGCCACCTGAATACTTTCATAGTCAAAAGTTCTGAAGTGATTTATTTTTTTTCTGTGCAAAAACAATTGTCATATACATTTTTTT